TAAATTTCAAACGAACCGAATACAAACACAAGCTCAGCTCGTTCGTGTTCGATTCGTTCACACCCCTTGCATGCCACTGAATTCTTGCATGGAAATGTCTTTTTTTTTTTTTTGTAATAACTTAAATTTTAGTGTTAGACATGTAAATATATAAAGAGTTCGGTTGCTATGACCTTAAAGGGCCCTAAAATAAAGTAGTTAACGAGAAGAATTAAAATAGTTAAAAATGGTTTATAGTATTTTTAAAATTAAGTTTATTTATTTTTAACAATTAAAATATATTTTACTTTAAATTAAAAAATTAGCAAAATAAAATAAAATATTTAGCCCCCCACGTCAGGAGAAATTATTGCATACGGATACCGCATGCATTTCTACATGCGGTGTCCGATCCTGACCGTAGATCACTAGAAAAATCGATCAGCATTATTTTAGTTTTTTTTTAAAAAAATTTAGGTGGGACCCACCGAAAATCATCCTGACCATAAATCACTTAATTCACGGTCAGGATTAGACACCGCACGCAAGATGCGTGCAATGTCCGATCTGTATGGAATAATTTTTCCCACCCCGAGCTAATTTGCAATTGCAACATGTGGTAAAAGACGTCAGCATCGATTTCACGCTTCACAAAAATACCTTTCAACTTTGTTTATTTCTCTTTTGAATTTTATAAGTGGTTTTTATTGTTTGAAATTATTAGTCTTTTAAATACATTCCATAAAAATTTAAATATAATAAATCTATGTTTCAATTTTTTTTAAAAAAATACACTTGTAAACATATTTTTTAAAAATAATTATTGATATTATTATTGTTATTATTATTAATATTAATATTAAAGAAATTATTTTCAAAACAATTTTATAACCGCATTTATAAATGCTTCTACCACACATATAAACCCCAAATATAGTATATGAAAAATTTAAAAATTATTATCAAATTCTCAATAGTTTGAATTATATGCATTCATTATTTTTTAAAAAATATAAATAAAAATAAATAAAAAAAAGGTTTGTTCATTTCAAGTTAAAATATTCAGGGTTAGTGGCGCACATGCCTATAATAAAAGAAGTGATCTATTTTTGAATTTAGTAGAACATGGTCGTAGTAGAACATGAGCTTACTATTAGTTAGAAATTAACGTGGAATCGTGTGACGAGTTTGATGCAAAAGAGTATATTTTATAAATATGAAATTATATTTAAATAAAACGTGAATAAATTTTTTGTAAGAATTACATACATACCACTCAATATTTATGCATTTACATTATCTAATACCTCATTCAATTTTCTTTGAAGATGCCACCCTATCCATACATGAAAAGATGTATTGTATTTTTAACAATGGGTGATATTTTCGATGTGATATGATGGTTCGAGTGTTATAAATGTAATGAATGATATTTAGTTGTTAGATATACTAATACAAAAGAATCAGGCGGTATGTATGTAATTGCCCCCATTTTCTTAAAATTAAAATGCCTGTATATAGGGCTGTGAAAAAAACTCATGTCTGCACACAGACCATCATATTCAATCTTGTTCAGCTCATTTTAGCTCGATGTATATATATATATATATATATATATATATACATAAATCATAACAGTTGTGTGATCAAGTAATTATGTACTGAAGTTGTGCAAGTTCGAATCCAACAACCCAAGAGATCCTTTGCACGAACCTTTGCATGCATGGGCAAAGCGATTTATAAGCAAAAATTGAAGTTTAGGTGTTAGATATGTAAATACATAAGTTGTGTGATATGTATATAAATGTTCCTAAGCAAAAAAATATAGGGGCAATTACATGCAAATCAGCAAAAAAATTATGTACAAATCAACCACCCTCTTTTATCCTATTTTCAAATTCTCACTTGAATATCAAAATTAAAACCCCCACCAATACTTTTCATTTTTATCAAATTCTCAATAGTTTGATCGTGTAAAGACATCGGTTCGATAGTAAAAAAAAAAACAAATTGGTGGTTAATTTATAAATATCAACGTTTTAGGTAGTTTGTATGTAATTATCCCAAAAATTATATATTTCTATTTAATTAAAACCCCTCTCTCTCTCTCCTTAATATAATATAAGGTCATCTGACATGAATATTCACATTAACATCAATAAAATTCTAAAATTTATTTTTAAAAAAAAATTGAAAAAGGTCCAAATCTAAAAAGAATAAAAATGATAAATAACATAATAATAATGATATAATATACTTAACAGCATATTTGCAAATGATAAACCAAGGGACTGATCTATAAAAAGAAACTTTACACCCCAACCCCTAACCTTAGTGAAGGATTACTAAATTAGATGGGCAAAGTGGTTAAAAGCTCCATTGCAGCAGACAAATCATGATCCGGAACACATGTTATGAAGAATTACAGGGGAAGTAAAAGCACTAACCTGAGAAACTCAGGCTTTCCGAAAATTCATGAATGCAGGTGATGTTCCAAATCAAAACCATTGGGATCAGATAGGCTTGCTCCAGGTCTGTCAAAAATAAATAAATAAATAGTAATGTAAAACGGGCCTTTAATATATGCTTTAAAGTGAAGCATGAAGAGTTGAATACCTCTTGTTTATGATGCAGTAGTGAAACTTAAGCTTCTCATTCTTCACATCTTCAGCATACTGCAAGCAGAGAAAGATGAGGATCAATAACAAAGGTTTCCAAATAATGTGAGAATAAATACCATATATTCTGTACCATTTTTAATGCGACGTATACTGATGAAAATGCGAGTGATCCGAAGGGTATGTCATCCAGAGAGAAAAGAGTGCATTCCAGTGATTCCGAGCCAGCCGAAAAATAAGGCTTCTTCATTTTTGCTCGGAATATGATGTAGCTCTGTACTGCATGTGTCATCAAAAGCCACATGCATCAATAGATTGTTGTCTACCAAGTATAAGAAAATCGGGAGATTTATGTACATACATAAAAAATTTTTAGGATGATTTAAATACATACCACTTAATTCCCATGTATTTACATATTTGACAGCTTAACTTCAATTTGCACATATATGCCACCTTACGTTTACATCAAAACGTGTATTTCATGTTTTTTTTAAGTCGAAGTAATGGTTTATTGATGTAACATGAGGATTTGAGTGATATAAAGGTAAAAAGTAAAGTTTCGGTGTCAGATATTTAAATATATATGAATTGAGTGTTACGGATACAAATGGCCTAAATTTTTATGTAGTTATCTATGTAGCATGTAAATCTTTATATTTACTTGTATACTATTCTAATCTTTAAAGCACATGAAAAATATCATTACTCAGGCCTATCTGGGATTATTATTATTATTATTATTATCATCATTATTTTGCTGTGGCTTTGCTTTTGGTTTTAAAAATAGATTTTTTTGGTGTATTTTTTTGTTTTAAAAATAAAGAAACATTTTTTAAACCAATCAAAATAGTTTTCATATTTTTTAAATGTTTTTAAAAACAATAGCATCTTATTTGAACAAACTAAGCAAGTTTTATTTAAAAACAAAATATTAAAAAAAACAAAAATGATCCCAAACAGCCACTTATCGAACGTAATGTGCATGTTTTGATATGATTATATAACTAAAACTAAAAATCTTGATATAAAAAATTTAAATACATAAAAATTTTGTGGTATGTATGTTAATCCCCCAAGTAAATGTTAGGAATATGAGGCCCTTTATCTAATGTTAAATACAACTTTAAAGCATGTGTTTTGATATAATTTTAGATACTAAAATGTCAAATAAATAAATTTAAACATCAAGAAGTTAGAAATGTAAATTCATAAGAAATTTGTGGAATGTATGTAAATCCCCCAAGTAAATACTAGGAAAACAAGATTTTTTTTTTCGCACCTGTCCAATGTAAGGAATATCTAATTGAGCAAATGGTGAAATAATTTCAACTTCAGCGTTTGCTTCTTCAAAGGTTTCCCTCATTGCCCCTTCAGCAGCTGACTCCCCGATCTCCAAGTAACCAGCAGGAAGAGTCCTGCAAAACTCTACATCATCACATAATTAAGGAACAGTAATTCAACTAATTTAGGGCTAGGTAATGGTGATCTAGTTTGGGCATATTTAACCAGCCTTGAAATATTGAGTTAATAGAGAGGCTTAAGGATGTGTAAAAAAGCTGGAGAGACTGTCGATTATTAGGGGAAGGTCTGGAGATCAGATATGGATGATTAAGATTCAAGGTATTTTAGGAGTCACGAAGAGAGGATCAATCTTAGATCAAGAGAGCCCTAGTTGTGTCCAACGGCTTCAAGAGAAATTTAAGATTTTTTTATAGTTGTAGGTTGTGGGCATATGCATTGAGATGATGCTAGGAAAGTGAGAGTACATGTTGTAAAAGAGATTGAAAAACAGTTCAATAACTAAAAGAAAGAAAAAAAGGTTGGGAGCGGGGCGGCCGGAGCCTCTAAAGCCTAAAGATTTTGCTCTCCAACTCCTGTCAAAACATCAAAACCTCACTTTCATTCATGTCCAATAATATTTAAATTATTATATCAAAATCTGCAAATCAAAATAAAAAAAGAGAAAAATAATATATAAAAATCACCCCACATGGAGTCACTTGCCCTAATGCTTCCTAATCAAGCTCACAGCTAATACTAAAAATATATATATAAAAACTAAATATAAAAATAATAAATTAAATGTTAAAATTTTAAAAAATTTTAATTCAAATTTAAATTTTTTATTATATATATTTTTTGTTCCATAAGGCTCTTTATTAAGGCTTTCTCGATGATGATATCTAAGCCCATGGTCCAATATTGAGCACTTGATCATGATTATATAATGCGGTATTCAAAATCATCTTGATGTTCTAAATTAGAAGAAAGGAAGGAGTTAGTTCAATTAAAATTTGAAGTCATCCTCAAGCGAATCAAAAAAATTGAAGAAAAATTTTTGAGTTTTGTGGAAATAGAAAAGATTTGATAGGAACGAGACAAGTTTCCGTAAATATTATGGTAGAAATAATAGATTCTACTCCGCAGTATCACATCAACTGATACAATCACGAATGACCTTCAGCATACTGCAAGCAGAGAA